TTCAGGCCAAACAAACCTGTATATGTAACTTTTACCATGTAATGCAATCTATATGATGTATATTTGCTACATCAATCCAAGGCCTTCTCCCAAGGAAGGGCCTCATTTGTAATCTGCTGTAAATACTAGTGGATTCATTCAAACTGGGCTAGGCCCCGTGGTTTTTCCCCCCTTTTAAGGGGTTTTCCACGTAAAAACTTTGGTGTCTCTTATGAACGCTACACCCTCTCACTTATCTGATTGTGTGCTGGATCTTCGTACAACGCTAAGACGTTAAACTATATATTTCTCTACCGCCGCGAATATTCCAGGACGCAACAAGTATCAATAGATCTGTATAGTGATAATAAATCAAGATAATATAAATGAAGTTATATATTATTAATGAATCAATAGTAATAAGTATTCTAGTAATACACTAAATAACTAAGGAATCCTAATTGAAGTGATATTTTTCCAAGTAATTAGTATCAATATTAATAAATCATTGGCTAAGTAAATATAGTTATCACTCTTCGCCTGTCAGCATAGTAATCATTTCCTTATAACTCTCAATCAATAAATCACATGAATAAGTAGAGGATAACACCAAGCCATATTATTTAAAGGAAAGCCCATCAACCCACCATACTGTATAGGTTAGTTAGTCTTCAACCAATGTTAGTGAATAACCCATTTTTACTTATTTTTCACTTCATATATATTATTATCACAATATTATAATAATAGTAACGACTAATTATCACTCAACCACATAACCATATCCATTTTAATACATATATTAACAGTATGCTTACAATAAAAATATTTGTTATTCAATTAATAGAAAAAGTAAAAAATATAGTAACTTCTATTTTACATGATAAAATTTAATAAAATTACAATCAAAATACTCATATTAACAACAACTATCATATACAAAAAATTATGTGATGAAAGTTTGTTAAAAATTAAGATATCATAATTTTTTTAAGTTTTGACCAAATTAAAATGCATAATATATATAATACACAAAATCATTAAATAAAAAATAGGGTAATAGTTCCTTACAATGAGATGAATAAAGTTCCTAATATGATCGACTGACAAAAATTGCTCTACGACCTCCAAATCTAGGCTTTTTTTCTTTCTTTGCACTTTTCTCCCTTATTTTATCCTTATAAGTCTTTATGGAAAAATGAATAGAAGAAGAGAAAAAAGGCTTATTTAATATATTACGTTAAGTAATTTTAGATATTTATAATAAAGTATCTTAAGGACACAAAGATAATTATATCATATATTTAGTTTTTAGAGCAAAATTCATATAAATCTTTTTATCTCTTTAAATTTGTGGCTTTGAAATTTTAAAAATTTCCTTAAAATAACCCATCATATTTAAAAAATTTGGTGAAATCAGTTTACAAAACGGATATCAAAAGTCTTAAAACCATCACTTGTACTGATAGGTGTCAAATTCTTAAGGAATTTCACCAATGCTCAAAAATTAGGAAAAAACATTATTACTAGATCACAATAATATCTATGTTAGGGAGAAGACGGTTTGTAATTTAAACTTATAATAACTCCTAAAAAAAAATATTTGATTGGGTCAAAATATGGGTTATTACATATTTAAGGTTCATAAATTAAAAAAAAAAATTATTGTATAAAATCGTAACTTTTATTTCATATAAAGGATAATAGAAGTAAAAATATCATTGATTGTTTGGTGGTCATCGACTATGCTTGTTTTTGTTTATCTCGATAGTAAATATGACAAACAAGAAAAGACTTTTCATCTTCATAAAGATTGAGCTCATTTATGTTGGGCTCAAATTGAACATGAACAAAACTCTTTTCATCAATATGCGAATTATTTACACCCCTCCTTTGGCATGAGTTCAAGCAATATCATGATTGCAAGGAATATCTAAATTTCATTCAATGAATATTGTAATATTAAATAGTTAAAATGAACTCAGGTTTTTACATTATAGAGGTTATTGGAAAGAACTACTTTCCGCTAAGTTCATAACCTAACTTTTGAAACTAAAATACTTTCAATGAAACTTCAACAAGATGAGCCTTCAAATATATTTGAAAACTTGAACATATTTTAAAATGAAAATTCAAATAATTTTGTAAATGCAAAAAGATTTATCCGTGAAGACTTATCGAATGAGTCCGATCAGCAAGTAGAGATGATTAACATGAACATAGTCAAATCCATTGGTGAACATCAATGAGCAGGTCCAAGGTACAGGCTGCAACCCCATTTTGCATGAAAATGAGTTTAAGACGGTGTTCATGTGAATTTGCGGAGGATGGGACAAAACAACAAAAATAAGGTCTTTCCTCATGAATTTTTAGTAAAAATTTACGGGAAAAAAATTTGGTAAAAAATCTACTGGCATATTTAAAACTAGCAAATTTTCCTTTTGAATACATATCGATGGTGTTTGTTATGACCGATATTATGCTAGAAAATTTTCTAGAAATAGCTATTTTTTCTGTAGTGTGTAAATCATTTCAGGCTGCCATTTATATTTATATACAATTTTATAAACTAGCCAAGTCACTCAGAAAATCATAACAACTAATTTACCCAGTAAAATTTAATTATATTCTTGTCAAAATATCCATAAAAAATCATATTTATAAAGTTATGCGACAAAAGTTTGATAAATCAATAGGTTTTATAAATTTTAGATATATAAAAATCATAAAACACAATATCACTAAAAACAAAAGGTAGAATTCCGGTAACCTACCACTATCAGAAGAAATCTTGTAACATATCCAACATATAAAAATGCACCGAAACACATTATTTTTTCGCTATCCTCTCCCTCTTCTCTCGCTCTCCTCTCTTCCTCTCTTCCTCCCTTACCCGGCAAGCTAATAAGAATGGGGGAGGGAAGGCTAGTGCTAAGTTATATACATACATATATGTATATATATATCCTAGTGCCCAAATCTCAGGATTGTTTGTAAAATTGCACCGCACCGTAGCATTTTCTCGTCGTAGCGGCTACACTTTCTCATCTCTTCTAAACATCGTTGCACTCACATGCACAGAGTCATATTACTCCAACTTAAATTTTTTATATTTTTATTCTAAAAATTATTTAGAAAATTTTAGATTGTTACGCCACTAACCATTCTTCTTCAATGGGGATAACAAAGAAGGTTCAACAACTCTTCACATTCACTTTAGAAAGTCATTCTGATGACAACGTACTCCACTTTATTTAAACATCATTTATAAGGGTCATATCCCCGCTAAGTATTGTATACATATTTTTCTTTCCATACCTTTCATTGGTACTAAAGAACCTCTGATCTTACTCATAGTTGCGTAAATAGTGATGTTATTTCATTAACCGCTATAATTTACATACTATTGTAATCTTAAATCCTCAATCTATTTTATTTTATTTAGTAATGCCATTAATAAACTTTTGTCTTTATATGACTAAGTTTAAGTTTATTCCTCACTCTTAGACCAAAACCTAGCATATATGCCCATATTAATGGGTTGTTATTAAAGCCTCCTAACTTACTACTATAACTCGTCACTCTATATACTCCATCATGCTATGATTATCATGATATGTCCATATTCTTCATGCACATGTGCTAAAAGTATATTACTTAATTATTAAGTATTTATGACTATTTCTAATGATATCCAACTTGAGAATATAAGAACATTGATTTTATTCTCCCTCGCATTTAATCTCATTCCTTTTGTTCTCTACCAAATATCAAATAGTGAGTATAAATCTTGGACAAACAACTTATTATATAATCAAGCCACTTGATATATTTTTACTTCCATTTTTTGATACTATACATCTTATCATTTGATGGAATTTATGTGCATCAAAATCTCCAAACTAGTACTCTATATGAAACAAAGATCCATTAATGCAGGTGGCACATGTTTTCTCCTCAATTGCAAACATATCACTAATTGATTCTCGCACACCTACAAATACTCCATCAGAGGCAATGCAGTCTCAAACAAGATTAGTGCATACTTTATCACCTTTTTATAGGACTACATGATCTTTAACTCAATGGAGTAGACTTCCAAGAGGTGTGCAAGTTTTATGTAGTATAAAGAGAACCCTTTAATCAAAGCTTGGCATCAAGATTGGATAAATTATCATCATGAGTTGCACATATAAATGCATGATTCCAGACTAGTGAAGTCTAAAACTTTATAGTATCCAATTTTGCTTAAGATCAAGAACTTTCCACTTACATACTTGTTTAGTTGACCCCTCCTCCCTCTATTTCAAGACAATGTCCGTTTAAAAAGCTTCAAGGCTCCCTCAAACAAAAAAAAAATGGTCGACCTTGATTTCAAGATATGAACATTTGATTTAAGATTACATATTTGAGGAACCACTCCACCTTCCTTATTGGGATTTGCCAAATTTTCAACTTTTTTAGGCATTTGTTTTAATTCATTTTCTTTGTTATTTGCTTCAGATGTCATTAATCCATAAAGTTTATTGTAAATCATTCAAAATTAATTCTAAAATAATATTTGGCTAGCAAATAACTCGACAGTACGGTTCATTAATTTGCTCAATTTGACTCATCTATTTGCACAAATAAGTACTTTGATAATCAAAATTTGAGAGAAGCTCAAATCAAACTCAAATAATAAAATTCCAAAAAAAAAAAAAAACTCAAATAATAATAATTTTAAATGAATGGAATACTTTGACATGAACTTGAATCAATCTCAAGCTTTGAAGCCCTATAATTCCTTTAATTAATGTTATATTGAAAATAGTCTTAATTAAGGCTCAAACTACTAACTCTTTTCCATGCTAATCAGGGCATCCTTGGAGCAGCCCGCTATCTGTCAAACCGCGCCCACATGACCCCATCTTAAAACAGTCGCAAGCGAAAGCCGAAGCAATAGATGAAAGCAGAGAAGCGGAAAAGCCAGAAGGGGATAGGGAAACGGTAAGAAAGAAAAATTAGCAGAGATTGAGCAAACCCTAATAGCCAGAGAGAGAGAGAGAGAGAGAATGCGGCGGCGGCAGTCCTCCTCGTTCATGTTCTTCCCCCTTGTCATCCTCTTTAACTTATCCGCGGCGGCGGCCTCCTCTATCGACTCCGACGTCAGAGCTCTTCTTGCATTCCGCTCGACCTCCGATACCGCCGGCCGCCTCTCCTCCTGGAATCTAACCTCCAGGTCTGCTGACCCCTGTTATTCCTGGCTCGGTCTCTCGTGCTCTTCTGGCCGCGTCACTCGCCTCGTCCTCGAGAACCTCTCCCTCTCCGCCACCTCACATTCTTTCTTCCCCTCTCTTCTCCTCCTTGACCAGCTCCGCGTCCTTAGCCTCAAATCCAACTCCTTCTATGGTCCCCTCCCCCCCGACCTCTCCAAGCTCAGAGCCGTTAAGCTTCTCTTCCTCTCACACAACTCCTTCTCCGGACCCATCCCTCCCTCCTTGTCCTCCCTCTCCCGCCTCTACCGCCTCGACCTCTCCTTCAACAACCTCTCCGGCCCCATTCCAAACTCTCTTAACAGTTTTTCGCATCTTCTCACGCTCCGCCTCCAATGCAACTCCCTTTCCGGCTCCATCTCCGGCATCTCCTTCCACACCCTCAAAGATCTCAATTTTTCCTACAACCATCTCTCCGGCGCCATTCCCCCCTCCCTCGCCTCATTTCCCGCCGAGGCCTTTGTGTCAAATCTCGCCCTCTGCGGCTCTCCTCTCCCCAGCTGCAGCAATGTCGTCAGCGAGCCTAGCCATCCTAACAACACCTCCCCCGCAACCATCATCTCCTCCCCAACCTCCAAACCAGAGGCATCACCACCCTTCGAAAACCTGCACAACTCCAACACAGCCAGCAGCCGCAGCGGTATGAGCCGAGCCGCTGTTGTAGCCATCGTGGTTGGCGACTTCGTAGTTCTCGTCCTTGTTTCCTGTCTTCTGTTCTGCTACTTCTGGCGCAAGTTCGCCGGAAAGAATCCTTCACGACTGCACGAAGGAGAGAAGATTGTCTACTCGTCTAGTCCATATGCGGCCGGTGTGGCAGCAGCAGGGGCTGCCGTTTCAACGGGCGTGTTCGAGAGGGGAAAAATGGTGTTCTTCGACGAGACGAAGAAATTCGAACTTGAAGAGCTGCTGCGAGCGTCTGCAGAGATGCTCGGAAAGGGTGGATATGGAACGGCCTACAAAGCTATCCTCGATGATGGCGGTGTCGTTGCCGTGAAACGGCTCCGTGATGTTCAGCTTGCTGGAAAACGGGATTTCGAACAGCACATGGAGATCCTCGGTCGTCTCCGCCACCCGAACCTCGTAACGCTAAAGGCCTACTACTTCGCCCGCGACGAGAAGCTCCTCGTTTACGACTTCATGCCCGGCGGCAGCCTCTACTCCCTCCTCCACGGTAAACGCCATTTTTTTATCAATTGTCGCTATTGACGCCTTTCTACAAACATTTGGTGTGCTTTCTTCGACAGGAAACCGAGGGCCCGGGCGGACGCCGTTGGATTGGGGGGATAGGATGCGGATAGCGATGGCGGCGGCGCGAGGGCTTTCGTTCGTACACCAATTCGCCAAGTCGCCGAAGCTCGCCCATGGCAACGTGAAGTCGACCAACATTCTTCTAGACAAGTCCGGCACCGCCCGACTCGCTGACGTCGGCCTTGCATTGCTCGGTAAAGCGCCGGACAGACGGTTCTGTGGATACCGACCGCCAGAGGTCTCATTGGACGGGCGGCGGCCATTTTCCTCGCAACGCGCAGACGTGTACGCCTTTGGCGTCGTTCTCCTCGAGATTCTCACCGGGAAGCCAGCTGCTGATGGCGGCGGCGGCTCTGCCGCCGCTGGCGTGGATCTACCGCGGTGGGTACAGTCAGTTGTGAGAGAAGAGTGGACGGCCGAGGTATTCGACCTTGAGCTTATGAGGTACAGGGGAATCGAGGAGGAGATGGTGGCAATGCTTCAGATCGCATTGGCCTGCACGGTGGTCTCGCCGGATCAACGTCCGAAGATCGGACACGTGGTCAGGATGATCGAGGAAGTCCACGGCGGCGGAGGCGGCGGCGTTGAGGTGGTGGCGTCGCCATCCCTCGAGTCCTCTGAATCCGACTCCGCCTCTGACGATCCCACCGCCGCCGTCTCCGCCGCTGCCGCCGGCGTTGGTCATTGACTTGCCCATATTAGCATATCTCTCTTAATGTTAATTAATCTTATTTTCTTTCATTAGCCGTTAGTTTCTTCTGATTACCCGTACATTAGATGGGTTGATGGAGCGATCTGAGCCGTTCATTATGTAGAGCCGACCGTTGATTATTTGTACAGTGTTTCGGATGGTCTGTTGTCAGTACTCAGTTCACCATAAAGTTTGATATAATATTATTATTAGTAAATATTTAATTCAGACATCGAAACGGATTTCAAATTTATTAAATTTATTTAAAATAAAGTATAATATTTAATTATTTATTTATATATTAGAATTTTTTCATATAATATATAAAGACAAAAATAATTGGTATTATTGTGCTTGTCCAGTTTTGGAATGGGCACACTCGTGTTGTTGTTGAGCTATAATGAAAGGTTTTTAATGCTCTTATTTTATTATTGATAATTTCCTTTTTTATTAAATTTATATCTATATTAGGTTTAATTAGTCATATTATAAGCATGATTAATTATATTATTTTAATGAATTTGAATTAAAATAATTTCAAAGATTTATGTATTATAATTTATATTTAAAATTATTAATTTTTATTTGTGTAAAAGTCTTTTAAAATTATATTATTTCAGCCCTTGAATGTGAACGTTGCAACCGCATGCACAAATTTGGGGCCCTTTTGTTTATTCTGGACATGATTGGATTCCATTGGTCTAAGAAACTCTTAAATATCTTACATGATTTATTTGGAAAAAATTATAAGGTGGGAACTAACTTTTTTCTTAGGCTGATTAAAATAGAATTATGACATGCATAATTTTATCTGTGAAATAAAAAAAATTTTAGAATTTAGGCAATTATATTTATTGAAGGTGGATAAAATAATTAAAATATATTTAAAAAAAAAAAAAAATAGGTTGGGCAATCTTAAGTATTTTTTTTTTTTTTTTTTTTAGATCTTTAGTGTGAAAGCTGTAGCATAAAATTTTATTTAGAACGGTTTAAGCCCAAAAATAATTTTTTTAAATTTAAATTTTAAAGATAAAAATTAAAATAGTGGTAAAAATTTGTCTTATAAATATATTAATTTTTGCTAGCTATTTTTTAATCATGAAAACAGTTGAAAAAGCTAATCCAAAGTTATTTGAGATTTTTTTTTTGTTTTTTTTTAAACTAAATATCGTTTTAAGTTATAATTAAGAGAGTAACCATCGAAAAAAATTTAAAACTTGCCAACTTAGTTCGTTTCTGTTTAAGGTAAATCACCCGTATAATGAGCGACTTATATAAAAATAATTTTTTTTTAAAAGTAATCTATATTTATAATTATGTTTACACTTTATTATATTTGAAAAAAGATTTATTAAAATATGAATTGAATGTGTAATTCTTGTGGACACTGGATTCCTCCGACATAAGTAATTAATGTGCAGTTGTTGTGGACATTGGATTCCTCAAATGGTCTGTGACACTCAGAGCATATGATCCTTATAATATCTCATTTAATGTGAAGTGATATTTCATGTAGCTTACAATAGCCAATCCCATCATATGGCATATAAAGTTATAAGGTCCATTCAAATCCTAATGTGTTATATGGCTGCAAATTATGGTTCAATATCTTTAATCACTACTATTTAAATGGTACATAGAAGAGACATGAAGAATATTTATTAAGTTGTTACTTGATTTATTCACAATATTTTGGTCATGTATAGAAAAGTTTAAAGGCGTCCCCAAGAAAGAAAGGTTTAATGATGTAAGCCAAAGAATACATGCTTGTATAGCACGAGCCGGTGACACTCCATTAGAGCAGAAGGTGAATAAAAATGAGATATTTAGGTGTTGTGTACATGAGTGGTCAGAAGACGAGGATGATTGCCTTTGGAATATGTATGCTGAGTTAATAACGGTAATATTATACAGGACTAGAAATTTCTTAAATGCTGTCAGATGGAAATCTTTTGAAATTAGGTTCTAGGAAGATAATGACCACCTTGTCAACCCTCATTTCTTACATATGTGATACCATAAGATGAAATGCCATAGAGATGGCGGTCATTCCCTGCCAGATATTGACTGCAACTACCTTAACATTAAACATGTCATTTCATACCATGATTGGTGTTCGAGGTTTGACTAGTTCATTCTAAATTTCTATAAAGATCGGATGAGGGAGTTATTACCTGATGGTAACCGTAGACAATTCTTCAATGTTGAGAACTAGCAAGACCTATAATATGTGTTCAAGTTCTATTTAAAATGTTGTCCGACTTAAACACAGCTTCAATCACATTTGCATGCACTGCTTAGGAATAAAAAAATATGTCTTCGTCTAAATTTAGTATGAAGTGTGTCTATTTATATTACGTTGTTATGGTTATTTATGTTAAACTTTGTTAAGTGTGTTATTTTGCTAAAATCCATGTTGTTGTAGACATTTATTAATATATATGGATGTGTATATTCGTGTCTAGTAGAAATTTGGTAATATTTTAATTTAACTCGCTAATCAACTAGTAAAGTGAAGACTACATCATTTCAAAGAAATTAATCTCATAAAGGCAACATCATATAGAATACAAACAAAATATCAACTAGTTTATTTTAATGATAGTATCATAATGAAATACGTAAAATCAACATCAAAATCAAACTAAAGCAACCAAAAGAAACATTGTACAAAACACTAATGCCTCCTCTTATGCCGATGTAATATCGCATCAGTGCTTAGAGTGAAATGATGTCGTGTTCATAGTGGTCTGATACGTAGATGGCACTGCTCTTGAACACTAATATCTTTCTGAGTAACTGGGGGTTCGCCCAAGGAAGAAGGTACAAACTAAGGTGTGGAGGTGATGTCAAAGTCTACTATGAAGTGGCTCTAAGAGGGACCCAAATTAGGATAGGAGGACGACCTAATAGAAATATTAGGAACATATAAAAATTTGGAATCTTCATGACATTTACAAAAACATAATAAGTTAAATTACCAAGAAAATATTATGAATTGTACAAAATAATAACATTTATTATGAAATTATATAAGAAATCGTTACAATCACCAGTAAATACTACGTTCAAGGGGAAAAATAGATTTATTTAATGCTACAAATTAATCACATGTACAAACAATTATGGTGTAAACAAATGATTGTATCACTTCTACAAATTAAACACATTTCCTAACAAAAAATATACAAAGTCATCATATGTAGCATTTCAAATGTAAACAAAATATTCTTACTTTTACAAATAAATTGAAATTACTAACTAATAATAGGAAAAATCATTATATTTACAAAATAAATATTATGCTCACTTAGTAGGATAAGTAGCACTATAATATCCTATTGAACCATATGCATTATATTGCCCATTTCTTCTAACTCTGCCCTTGTCCATTGTGTTCCTAAAATAATTTGTTCTAGGTCTCCTAGTATGTCTTTTAAAATTTGGGGGGACGAGTGGGTATATGTCACGTGCTGGATCATGTTGTGCCCAAGTGTCTCGATCTAGAATGTTGTGAAATTGACCAATATAGGTCATTTTGTAATTGTATAAGCTATAATATTCTGAGACGTAATTATGGTGACTTTGCCTGAGCATTGAAATGCAACTCATTACGTTTGCACATGGAATATGATACATAATGTTCTTCCCGCAACTACAAATGCAATTTCTATCATCAATTAAATCAACCCTGAAAGACCAAAATGACATGTCAACCACTTGGAACTCACGCATATTTATTTGAATGGTTTGTGGTAACCTACGTGCTTCTTGCTCGATCTTTCATTGTGTGGCTTGTACACTTGATGTGAAGGAACTTGTGGCATCAAGTTCAAAACCTTTTAGCGTTTCTATTTTTTACAAGTGCAATGCCACAATGTTATGGTAAATGGTTGTAACCAATGCTTGAACAAGCAATATAAAGTAACTTATAAAGTAAGAATTTCATTTTTGGTGTCCTATTGCTATAATCGAAGTTGCACATGTATGTTGGTTCTTCATGGATGATATTTCCCATATGCCTCCAAGATGTTTGCTCACCCCTGCAAGCAAATGCCATATACATGGTATGTCTGACCTGCCATTCTGAGCACAAACCACTATCATTTTCTATCTCTTCGAAGTTACGATGACATATTCCACATTATTTATAATTGATCAACCCTGTAATGCAAACTGAAGATCCTATTTCTTACTAAAACACATATCATCTATCAGCTCTATTAGAATTAAAAATTCTTCTTCGACTTGATTACCAACATATTCACTATCATTTGCTACATCCTCATCTCATTCAAGAGTGGTGGAATAAGCCTTCATAAACTCATTGTTTACAATTATGCCTTCTACAATGTCGATATTTATGTAATAATAATATTGGACAATGCTATGGATCTCAAGGTTCATATATACATTCATTTCATCTAAATGATATTATAAGTCATCATCACCATCATCAAGAGCTAGATCCCTCGATCCACTGCTCATTATTTCGTAACCATCATTGACATTAACTTATGGTCTCTTGGAAATTACTGGTACACCCTAGAAAAAATTTCTTCGCCATTCACTTCATCACATAAGCGACATTTTCTTAACAAAGGTGAATTTTTCAGACAATTATACTTTATTTAATATGGATTTAAATGAAAAACTTACTCAGCATATTACATCACGAAACTTGGATTCGTCAAACCACATTTTGTCACCCCGTCAAAAGTAAATGTCTCATACACTTGAGATGTTAATTGCTCAGCAACTAAACTTTGTGCATAAATATCCTCAACCTCTACACAAAGTAGAATTATCTGCCAAATAGCATGCATAACACCATCTGATATATATCATCATCCTTCACAGGCAAAGCTATGAGATCATTCTCTAAGGGAAGACAACAAACCAAGTTCATTCTGTACTTTGACGTATCATATTTAAGGGCTTTTAGAATCCTAATCTTCATCTAGTCTAAGTTCGTCTTAACATCAACGGCCAATAACTCCCCCCATATGTTGGTGAATATTTATCATCTAAAGACAACTGTCAACAATAC